GGCGCCCCGCGCTGTGCCCGACCCCGTTTCTGCCCCGGTCGCCCCGGCGAGGCCAGGGCAGCCCCGGCCGGGAGAGGCGGAGCGCTGGCAGCACGGCGGGGGTGGGGGGGGAGCCGGCTGCGAGCCCCGGGGCCGGTCCCTCACCGCCCGGGAAGCGTTTGGGAGCGGGATGGGCCCTGTGACCCGTTATCCATCTGGAAACTTGTCCCCGGGATGGGGAAGGATGACTTCCCGCCGGGACAGAGTCCCCCCGGCCGGCGGGGGGGGGTGGCAGTGCCCGGGAGGGGGTAGGGGACAGGGCCATCGCTTGTTTTACAGGTCACTGTCGGTGCGGGGTCAGAGGAGAGGGGACACGGCTTGGGGGTGGGATGGGAGCACGGCACCGCTCTGGCAGCGGGAAGGTGACAGCCGAGGTGCTCTGGGACAGCGGGCACAGGCGGTTGGGGCTTCACCCCCACCCCAGGGGCTGCCCTGGAGCCGGGGGAGAGGAAGTCACATGGGCAACGCAGTGCTGTTGGCATGGCTGGGTTACAAGAGACACTTCATCTCTTGGTGAAGTAATGCAGAAAAAATACTAGTTACTATTTGCCTTCTTCGCCCAGAGACCCCTTGACCCATCTTCATCCCTGTGACACAAATCTCTATATTCCTGTCATAACCCGAGAGGAAGCTGCAGCACAGAGAGATTAAAACCAAGACTCAGAAAAGCCAGCAGCCCCAAACTGGTGTCTGACATGATTTCTGCACCTCGGAGGTGCTGGCCACTGCAGCGCCCATCACAGACCAGTTTGGAAATGCTGGCTTAGGAGAGAAACGTGTTCTCCTTATCCCCAGACCCAGCAGAGCCCAGCACAGAGCGGTCCTGGCCGTGTGAGAAGCTCCGTTGGTGCAGGCAAGGGAAAAATGCCAGCTCACAGCAGCTGAGGATCTGGTTCCTCTTCTGTTCTGTTCTATTTGGGCATGGACTATGCTGAGACCTGCCAGCCATAGGTAGTAGCTGTCCCTGTCCCTAGAGCAGCCATCAGAGACTTGGAGTGTGCCCAGCCTGTAGATCAAAATTCCAGCACCAGGATGACCGCTGGGAAAGGAAGGTGGTGGGAAGGATCATCCACCTCGAGCTCTATCATTGTAAGTCATGGGCCCTGGGCCATACTTGCACTCGGCCTCCCCATCTCACCCTCTGCAGCCTGGACCAGAAGGGGTTTGGGAAGAGAAATATCCTCATCTGGACCTGGAACTGGTTGTCTAAGCCATGTCAGAAACCTTTCAGACAGGACCACTTAACAGAGCCAGGTCTCTACACTTGGGAATCCTTCAGCATGAGCAGGACCCTGAGAGCATGAACAAGAGTCCCCGTTCCCACTTGCCCAGATTTTCAGCTGGGTAATTTTAAGATAGCCTAACTCTATTCAGAAGAGCAATGCACAGCAGCACAGTGTGTGGTCCATACAGAAGGGATCTTACCTAAAGGCCTGCTATCAGCTTCAACATCCAAATTCCTGTGGTTTTCCAAAACTGACACCACACTGAGATAAAGACCTAACTTACTTTGTTTCCAAAATTGAGGAGGTATTCGAGATCTAGAGCCATACTTTGCAAAGCCCTTGGGCCTGCTTCACTCCTTTCACTTAGGCTATTTTTCCACTTTCTCTTTCCTTGATGGTGGCTTTTTTTAAAATGTGAATTATCGTCACAGAGAGTTTCCCTGAATAGCACAAATCGTTGATGTTCTCTGAGCAGCTGCTCTGTCTGCCCAATACCTGATCAGCGGTTCCTTTCCTTTCCCTGCTGGGCAGCAGCTGCTGCTGGTGGTGTGGCACATTGGATTTCAAATTTGCCCTCTTTGTGCCCAAGTGTCCACTACACCAGAGCTCCACTGTGGCCAGTGCTGGCTGGGGAAATCCAGGTGCCACGTGGTTTAAACTAGGCATGGTTTGGTGGTCAGTGAAGGACCACCAAACTTTCAGCTGCAATGAATTCGTGTCTCAGCACAATGTTAGGTGGGACCAGACCAGAACTGCTATCTTCACATTTCTGTAGAAACTCAGGGGAGTTTGACAGCTCCCAGAGTCTCCCAGGCACTTTGAAACAACACACCCCTGCCGCCCCCAACAACTCCTGCTTCACAAAGTTGTTCACAGGGAGTTGTGAGACAGATCCTGCATGTGTGCCCAGAGATTTACCTGCTCGGGGAGATGCAGGACAGGCGCTCTGCAAGTGGAGGTGGCTGCTGAGGCTGCTGGCTGACCATGGGGTGGCCTGGTGCTGTTGGGCTGGTGCATTTTCTCTGCTGCTGTTGTTAGTGACAGATGTTAATCACCCTGGCTTAATGCACTTCGGGACAGCAGTAAGGCGTCACGCTAATGGGAACTGCGCAATCACCTCGCCTAGAATAGAACAGAGTGGAGCAGAACAATGGCTCGTTTCTCTTTGCAGGCACATCTTTTTCTATTCAGAGCTCATTAACCCCTGTGTCCCGCTACATTCCACTCCAGAGATGTCATGTCTGCTCAACTGCAGAGAAGTTATCACAGGACTGCTACGGTAGTTCTCGGGGCTGGCACTGCTCTGCTCCAGAGGTAGCTGCATTTTCATGGAAGAAATTGCTGAACTAACGTTATATACGGTGGTTTTATAAACAAAGTTGTGCAAATACTTCCCATAGGATCATCCCATGGTGTTTTGCAACTCCTGATCATTTGCACAATAGAAGCATGGAGCAATTAAAGCCTTTCATGTTTTCAGCATGAATAGATCTATCAAATTTCACAACCGTAATCCAAAATTGGACTCGTTTTAAAATTAATATTGATAATTAGCAGTGCATGACTAAGCTTGAGTGGGTGCTTTCATGGGGAACTTGAGAAATACTGTCTTTAATAGCAGATGGGGGACTGGTGCAACCCACTGCTTTAAGGAAGCTGCCTTTCCAGAGCGCATGGGATGGGGGCCAGCAGGGCAATGGATAGCACAGTGACCTGCCAGTCACCAGCCACCACCACGACAGGGAAGTCCTACTTTGGATTCAATAAAGAGCATCCTGAGATATGGATGCCTGGCAGCTGAGTGCCATTTTATTGGATGTGTTCCCATTGATAAACTTAAGGGGCTCCATGTAACTTCCCAAAAAGTAAAAGCAAGAGACAGAGCAGAAAAGAGAAAGAACCAGGAAAAAAAGAGACTACCTGGCACAGCCTGGAGCAGACCAAAGGCAGGGGTTCTGAGGTTGTCCCCACATAGATCTGCCAGGTGCCTGCAAGGAACCAGAGCTGAAGCAGCGAGGGGGGAGTGTATGACAGACTTAAGTGACTCAGGTGTGACTTTGGGGGCTCTCAGTACCCCTGAAAAATCTTTTTCTTATTTTGAGTGGGTACCTGTGAGCCGCTGTCAAAAATTGTACCAGTGAATGGGGAAGCCTTGGAAAAGGTTGTGCTTGTCTCTAAGAGCTCTGCACTGTTCATTTGTTCTCGTTCTTTCCTAGGTTTCCTAGGCAGAAACTGCTGTGGTTCCTGTGAAGAAAAACTGTCAACAATAATGCTAGGGGACAGGTCTCACATCAGGGTCCTGGATACAAAGGGCAGCTCTCTGCTTCTGTAGCTGATGGGTGAGGACAACAGCTTGGTAAAAGGCGCTACCAAGAGCTGGCAGGATGAGTTACAGCTCACCCTCTGTGCACGACTTGTATCACACCACCACCGCCGCCACCACGGCCAAGCCAGAGCCAGGGACAGCTCTGGATGTGACTGTACCAGAAACAGCTACTATAAACCCTGAGACTACCAGTTTCAATAGCACCAAAATCCCAGATGTGGCCAGCACCGGACCCGGCGTGAGCACAATGCTGCTATCCTTTGGGATCATTACTGTGATTGGGTTGGCTGTAGCTGTGGTAAGAGAGCCCTGCTCAATATTTCTCTGTGTTGAGGGGTGGAGGATGGCAAAGTGGGTCCAGGACTGATGTGGGTTGAATCATTTATGTGCACTCTAGTAAAGGCTCACCTAGAACTGCTGGGAACTGGTAGTTCCTGAGATCCTTTTCTTTTTAAGGCCTTTATCCAGTGCACCAATACATCTGCAGTCTCCCTGAGGTCTGGTCTGAACAGGATACTCAGCAGGCCTAGAGGAAGCTGTATGTATTATTTTTAATAGCAGTAGGAATTTCAGTTAAAAGAACACAAAGCAGATTCTGTTCCGACTTGCTAACTGGAAGAGCTGCATCGATTTAAACTTTGTCAACACAGGGGCTCACAAGAAAGTTCACCCAAACTAACTTTTAAAGCAGACTGTTGGAACCACATTAATCTCCTCTGTGGCCAGGCCCTTTTGAATTAAAGCAGCCTGAATCCAGTTTAGCTAGAATCATTCTGGACTGCGTTTCCAAGGTTCTACTTGCTGAGTATCAGCAAAGTCCTCGAGGATTTGCTGTGTAACTAACCTTGCATTAACGCTGCAGGCGGAAGCTTTCGGAAACTGTAGTTCTGGGCCTGACCCGGGCTATACAAGTGCTGCAGTTCTTCTTTTGGTATATAACCAGATTGTTTACCTGCCAGCAGAGAACAGAAGGTAGCGGCAAGCTCCCATTCCTCATATGAGGAAGACATTCACTAATACAACCATCAGAGGAGCCTACAGAAAGGGACTCCTGCAAAATTTCATTGCAGGCCCCAGGAGGAGTTTTTCCGAAAGCCCCTAAGAGAACCTGGAAATGGTCATAAGTTCCCAAGAGCAACATCCAGCCTTCGTAGTTCTCAGAACAAGGCTCTGGAGGCCAAAAGCCTCACTTCCTTCCCAGCACAGCCGCTCTTACTGGCTGACACGAGGCAAGTCACTGAGCATGCCCTCTTTGCTTCTTCCCTTTATACTGGGGAGGGGGTAACAGCATTTCTATGCTCTAGGAAATCTACAGATGGGAACCACAAAGGGACGGTTCTTCATCTGCTCTTAAATTGCAACGTGTCCTGCATCCACCAAAGCTGTGCTGAGCTACACCTAATAATAATACACCTAATACTCTTACTACTACTAACACACCTAATAACAGGCCCCTCGAGCACTAAGTGTCAGATGTGATGTGCTACTGAGCTTCCACTGATGTATATGAAATTTCATTTGCAATTGTCACTTCTCCCTTCTCCCTACTTTCGTACGCAGTGACACCAGACTTGTGCACCTCCTTTCTCTGTGCCCTGTGCCCAAAATTTCTCTTCTCAGCTGTTCCCCATCCTACTGGGACTGTTGTAATGATGGTTTTCTTTCTCCTTCAGGTTCTGTATATCAGGAAGAGGAAGAGGTAAGTAACATCTGTTGTTGGCTGAAGGGAATTCAGTGCTTCAAAATCCAGAGAGAGCTAGGAAGGAGACAGGAAGAGTGGAAGAGATGGCTGTCTGAGAAGGCTACTGGGAATCAGCTGTGTGGGAATGAGACAGGGGTAGGGACACTGCACCCCTGGTATTGGCCCTTCTAACACCAGAGTTTCAAAAACTCCTCCGCAGCTTTGGAAAGGAAAACATGGTTGAGCAGGAGGAGGTTAGAGATCCTGCAAACTCTTCATGCTTCATCTATGAGATGCACTAAAACAGAGGAAAGGGTTACGAGTGTATAAAAAAGCTGGGAATTCTTTCATGAGAGGTGTGGCTCTCACATTTCAGCCATTCCCAGATCCATGTTTTTCAACAGCCCAGGCCAATGACACTGGCCTTGCAAAGCTGAAAGTCTCTTTAGCTGCAGTCACAGCAACTGGCAGCAGCGTAGTACAGAGATGCAGTTTTCAAGCCCAAGACTTAGTGTCTTAATTTCCTTGTTAAGCTCCTGGCTGAAAATAGAGAGAAGAGCAGCATGCAAGGAGACACACATCTTGATTCTTCCTTCTCTGACAGCAGAGACCCTGGTGGAGACCCATTAGATGTGGTACCTGCTCCCTGCCTGACTCCTTGTGCCAGGCCTGGCCTGCCCACAGACTTTCAAGAGGTGCTGCTGCCCACTGTAAAATTTCCAAGCCAGACCCTGAAGCCCAGATCTGGGCACTGCCACAAGAGCAGCTAATGCTTGGCCTGTCAACATAGCACTGCTGGAGATAATGGCTGTGTTGGCAAACCCATATAGAAGCACGGAGGGAATGTGTCATCCTAACACTTGCTAAAATAGATATTTGTGGTGACAATGCCAGTAACTGCTAGTGTGTTTCCCTCCCCAACCCCCCAAACTCAGCTACAGCTTAAGGCAGGGCTCAGTGTTTCCACAGCAGGATGCCCACCCATCCATCCTCCATCTCTGAGCTGCCCAGTGTTTAGGGAGACCCCTTGGGGTGACACTTTATAGCTCTGACTAGGAGCAAGGATACAAGAGTAAGAACAGTCTGTCCACTGGAACAGACTGTGTTCCAGGCATAGCCTGGCATCAGCCTCCTATGAGATTCTAACTCTTTCCTATTTTCTATTTATTGTTTATTATTTTCTATTTATTTCTATGCAATTCAACCCCAAAGTTAAAGTACTACTGTTAAGCCACTGGAGCTGAAAGCTGACTTCTGCTGGCAGACATAGTGTGACATGGCAGGACCCACTGCTGAGGGCAGAAGGACAGGGGGAGAAGTCACAAAATGCCTGGCCAGTATGTTCCACTGTCTCTTTTGTCCCTCCACATAAAGCTTGATCTTTTAAGTTCTGCAGGAACTTAAATCCCTGTCTGACTCCTCTGTGCGTAACGCCTGCCAACATAGATTAGTGATAGCAATTAATCCCTGTAACTGCACTCTGGGAATCTTCCACTCCTGCCAGCCGTGAGTAGTAGGTTCTTACCCTCATGGCTGCAGGACAGGACATGACCCGTATCCAGCAAGAGCAACCAGAGACAGAATCCCTGCACAGCAGGGGAGACAGCCTGCAGGAAGCCTCAGCTGTGAGGTGGGGAAGGCAGCTTGAGCATCTGTCCTTCCCATCCAACACTCTCCCTTTCCTCCCCTCCCACGGGCAGGTTGGAGAAGCTACGGCACCAGCTCATGCCCATGTACAACTTTGATCCCACCGAGGAACAGGATGAACTGGAGCAGGAGCTGCTGGAACATGGGCGAGATGCAGCATCTTCCCAGGCATCGCAGAGCAAGGTAGGCAGCAGGGAGCAGCAAGTCTGTTACTACAACCACTGGTACCTGCACTGCTTTTGTTAGAGTCAGAGTTTTTGTAAGGTTGTGGGGTAGGGGAACCATGTAAGACCTCAAGAGGACTCGCCCCATCTCTGCTAGCCCTGGAGATAGCGGGGTTGAGCATTTTGGAGTGCTTAGGATGGACTGAAGAGTCAGGCAACTAGGACAAAGAGCCTGGGGAGGCAAAGTGCTGACTTTACTCAACTAGGAAAGAGAAAAGGGCAACTTTGATAATTAAGGGTGAGTTTACTACAGTTTACCACTACAGTACCACCAGGGAGTGGTACAATGAATGCCATTTTCTGGAAGACAGGGCTTCAATGCCCACAAAGCACTCAGGCTCCTTTGCTCTGGCCCTGAAAAGCAAATAATTTCCACCCAGTTTTAAGGTATCTCTTAAATAATCCTTTGCTTAAGGATGCAAGTGTGGAACAAGGCCTTGCTGAGGGAAAACCTGTAATCCTAACAGTTAACTGTGCTGCAAGCCCTGAGGGACGCAGGCAGAAACCCTGCATGTTGTTATGTCCTGGAACACCTGGTCTTGTCAGCACCTCCAGGCCAGCCTGGCTGGGCACAGAGCAGGCACGGCTCAGAAGGAGAAAAGGGAGGAGAATTCTCTATTTGATATTTGGGGAGAGGGGAAGAAGGCTTTGCTTTGACCACTTCTGAGTGCTCAAAGGCACGCAGTGTGCGAAGAAACGATAAGGACCTCAGAGACCACTGACTTACTACATTTCTGAGTTAGGAAGGAGCTTGATAGCTTGGCCAGTTGTTTTTGGTTAATGGTCCAGATGGGTCTTTGACAAGATGCTGTGTCCTTCCCCCATCTACCAAGAGGTAGGAGAAATAGGGAAGAAGGGCTTCTCACCATCGTTTGCAGCCAGCTTCACAGTGTTTTCTGTTTCCTTTGTCACCATCACCACACAAAAGCCCTTCTGAAAGACAGAGCCAGCAGGGATGGTTGGAACAGGTACGTCTCTTAGCCAGTGCTGCAGCCTCCCCTTAGAGTAGACATCTCTCCTTTCTTGAATTCCTCTCCAGCTTCTGTGTTGCCTGTGTCTTCCCTTGCTTTTCCAGTTCCAAGAGCAGGAGTCCTCCCAAGTAGTTCTCAGTTTCCACACACTTTACACCTTCAGATAATCTGTAGGAAGCTTGGTGTGGGCAGAAAGGAAAAGAGGAGATAATAAATACAACTGTAATTATAAAATATTTACCCTGAGACATGCTTCCCACCCTGCTAAAGAGCATAAAGAAGATGTGTGTTGCAATCTGAAAAATAGTCAACATATTCCATACGCTGTTTTTTGGGAAATCAAGAAATACCGTTGTATAAAAGCAACGGATCTTTCCCTCTGGGTGGTGCGTACTGGGAAAGCACCAGATCTTTCTACTAGTGCACAGTTTCTGTTATACCCCTTCAGGTAGTAAAGGGGGGAAATCACAAGGCCAGAGTTAAATTTAGCACAGTGAAAGCAGATCCTTCCTATAAAGGGACTGGCCAGCAGGACACCTCAGATCTCTCCAGAGCTTGCTAATGCACAGGTATCTCCTCTTAGCAAGTACACAAGTTTAAAGGCTTAAAATAATACGAGAGGGAGAGTCTAAAACAACAGCCCAAGTTCAGTCTATGGCATGTTTCCAGGCCTTCTGGATGTTTCACATCTTTTCGTGCTGCCTTGTATATATAAATAGCGAGAGCCAGTAATCCAATAAGGTGGGGATTTTGAGCTGGCATGGATGTGCTGACTTGCTCTCTGGCCTGTTGTATTTTGCTGTCACAGCCTTGTTAACACCGTGTTATCAGGCAGCCTCCCCTTAGCAAGGGGCAGAATCTAGTTACTGTGGTGTGCAGCCCGTGCCCCCAGCACACGCACCTGAGCGAAGGCGGGCTTCGCTGGGGCTCATCTTTCACTGCTTCAACGCAGATTCTGCTGACAAGTCAAGGAGCCCTCCAGAGACCCAGCCGTCTTGTGTTCACAGACGTGGCCAATGCCATCAATGCATGAACGGTCCCCACCCCTGCTCTGGGATCGTGCCGAGACTGGGGAGGATGAAGCCAACAAACCAGTGACATCCCGCAAGCATGGCCGACCCGCTGAGCCCAGCTGGTCACCCCCCTTGGTTTGTGTTACAAATGGGCACGGGCGCTGGGAACTGTTGTCACTTCGGGAAGACAACCCTTTGTGAGGGCAGTGGGGATGTTTTGGTGCATCTGTTACCACTAAAAGTTCGTGAGCTCCAGTTTCCGGGCTGGTGCTGACCGATTCCCATCTACCAAGCCGTGTGCTTAGGAACAGTGCCTGCTTTAGTGTAGAGTAACCTGTCAGAGCACACGTGGTCAGGGAAGGAGTAGAGATGCATGTTTCAGAGAGCTTCCCCGTTGGCTTTGTGCCACCAGACCCTAAGGAGAGCAATGAATGAGCCTCTCTGTACAGTGATGGCAGCTTTGGCAGATCCTGGAGGGGTGACTGGTGGCAAAGCCCCTCTAAGCAAGGCGAGCGGGCTCCCCGGGCTGGGTGGCAATCTGGGGCACGCCAGGGAAAACACATAGCGTGGGCTTATGCCCCTTGTGGCACGTGGGCTGCTGGTAACCGTGCACCCAGGGAGATGTTGAAGCATGGGGAATTCACTAGCTTTAAAAAGTAAAACGGTGAACATTTGGCTGATTACATCTTAACTGAGGGAGTGGCTGAAATATCCCAAATTAGGACTGCCGTATAGACAGAGGGGAATTCACACAGTTACAGGCAGAGAGGGGGGTCAATGTCTGGCTACGTGACTCTGCCACCAAGCTAGGAATGATGGTGTTTGGGCCACAGAGAGGAGTCGAGTAGAACTGGGGTTCCAAAACCATGTATTCCCCTCCTGCTTTGGCTCAGGGAAGTTTCCACAGTGAGGAGTGTTATCCAGAAAAAAGATTAAACCTTGAAGTATTCTCCTTTAAATAAGGAAAACCATGTTTTGGCTCAACATTACAACAACCCCATGACTGAACAGCTGGTTCATCCATCCTTACCTGCCAGGATCTGCAGTCACAGCCTTCTCTTCTTCCTGCTGAAGGAAAGGGAGAGCTTTGTGTTAGCCTCCGCTCGTGTCTCCTGCTAACAACGCAGAAGGTGGGCCAGGCAGGTAAGCCAGCAGTTTCCCTGTAACCCTGAGGCATCTCTCTCCCTATGCATCCTTCAGGGCTGCAGGAGGGAGAGAGTGCGAAGGGGTCGCTGGCTACCTTGGCGGCTGCAGGAGGGAGAGAGTGCGAAGGGGTCTCTGGCTACCTTGGCACACTGCAGTGTGACACGGGGGCTGTCTTCTGCAGAGCCTTTTGGTGGCCACCAGCCCCAAGTGCTGCAAGCCAGCAGAGCAGCCAGGGGCCAGCAGCAGAGCCTGCATGCAAGCATCAGTGCCCAGCCATGCACTGATCACCTCCTCTTTATTTTGCAGTGCATACATTTGTCAGCCAGATCGTATTCCATCCACAGCACCAGTCAAAAGGGAATTGGGGCAAGCCAAAATCTGAATGCAGATGTAGAGGCAGGCTTTATGTGAGGAGATGTTTCACTGAGTGGCAATTCAGGTCTCGTGTGCTTTGTTGCCAGTTAGTTTTTGTTCTCCCAAATATTTTGGGGTTGTTTTCTTCCCCACTGATTTTATTTTTCTGTGTTCATTAAATGCAGACTTTTTCCTGGGCACGTGCCACAGACCCCTGCAGTGCAGAGTTCCTTACCAGCCCTCCCTCCATTACTGACACAGCTTTCCTCACGGCAGTTTTGCAGGGCTAAGTTGCTCTCATTTTTCAGTATCTCTCTATTTTAAAATTAGGGAGTCCTCTAAGTGTGTTAGGGCCAGGAGTGTCCTTACCTGTGGAAAACAGCTCATCCTCCATAGCCAGGAGGCTCTCCCAGGCTGTTGGTGTTTGCTCTCCAGGGATGCTGCTGGAAGGAAGGTGTGTGGGTGCAAATACTCAACGTAAACTGGTTTAGGGCCTTAGAATTGGCCATTATTTGTGGGTCTTCCCAGAGGTTATGCCTATACGACTAGCTGAGAAGCAAATACATCACCCCCACACACACTTACCATCTCCTCCAAGTGCTCACAGAGGGCAGCCACAGAGACATGGGATTTCTCTTTTCATCAGCTGGCACGTTGCTGCAGGGATGCGAGCGGCAGCAGGGGATCACAGCTGTCCTAAATCACAAGGTTTCCCCTACAACTCTTTGGATTGGAATGTCATTTGTTGTTTTAAACTCTGTAAAAGGCAAGTGTAAGCTGAGCTGTTTCCTCAAACCAACAGCCTATTTGTGCTCTTTCCCCAACCCCACGTGCTGCACAGGCAGCTGCCAGCTCAGGTGCAAAACCACGCACCTTATTCCACCTTAATGCTGAGATACATCTTGTCTAACAAACACACCTGCAGAGGAGTTCTCTTTAACCATTCTTCCTGCAATGGTAGGCTTTGTTCTGTGATGACCGCCCTTAAGTTAAAGAAGTACAGACAATAAGACTAAAAGAATATTACGGGTATTTGCTGGGCTTGTACTGGAGTGTTCTTTTAGTTCAGTAGCGCCTCCTCTCACAGTTCTTGGAAGTATATGTACAATTTAGCAGAAGCTTTATGATGTAATTTAATTCCAGTGTTTCTGTGTTTTAAGCATTGAAATATAATTAAACTATTTACATGAAATCTAGTGTCACTGTCTTTTTTGCCCCCCCGTCATTTCCATTTCCCACAGAAAACTGCTGGAGTGCATCGTCAGTACCTGTTGGTAATTTTTATGCAGTGAATTCCCCTACTCTTTCAGAGGTTGAAATGAACGTGAAAAGCTTGGAAGGACAAGTTTTGCAGGGGTCAAGGTTTAGTGCTCCACAGCACGGAAACTCAGACCTCTTCAGGAAGGCTTGGTGCCTGGTGGAAAAGTTGGGGAGGTAGGAACTTCCAGCTCAGGAGATCCTGGCCATCCAGAAAGACAAATTCCAGCTTGTCTGTTTGCCGTATTATCCTTTAACCAGCTGAACTCCTGGGGCTGAAACTAGGGGTTCACCTGCAGCTCCATTCACGAGAGCCTGCCCACACTGGGGTGAACATTGTGGGCAGCAGCATCAGTAGCTCCTTGGTGCTGTTGTTGGTGTTATTTCTGTCTCATCTTCTGGCCCACAGACCCAAAACTTGGGACTAGTTAGGAAAGCTGTCAGATTAACTGAAGAGGCTGTACACAGGAACAGAATTGACTGTATGAAAAGCTAAATAGTTGTACAGCACACAGAACAACACAGGGCATGAACAGACTCGGCTGTGGAGACTTAGGGATGTACACAAGAAGCAGAACTGGCTTGTGTTCCAGGCAAGCCAGTGAAGAGGTACTATAAGATGTACAAGAGGATGGAATTAGGTACCAACCTTTGGGTTTAAGGGTCTGTCTGTTTTCCTCCATGTGTGATTCCTCCTGCTCATTATTCCTTCTTGTCACATAGATCTGTGGGTGCTCCTAAATGACCAAATCTTGTTTTATAAACCCCCAAACTCCAAGTCAGATAAAGGGAATCACCTCTGGTCTGGCGATGTGTGTGTGCTGAGGTTGTTGCACATAGAGGAGGCAAAGCAGAAACCCGAGGTGCTATGTTTTATGCCTTTATTACAAACAAACTCCAAGGCTAATTTGCAAGTTGCCAACACTCTTTATGCCTTCACCAAAACCATTTATGAGAATCTTCCAAACTTTGCTATAAAACAGACCTCCTTCGTGTCCCGTGTTTTGATCGGACTGTAACAACCTCTTATTTTTGACTTGAGTCAGACCAAAAGTGTCTGAGCTTGAAAATACTTGAAATGCATTTGCTTAGAGGTAGGATTTGGCTACACGGAGAAGGTAATAACTATATGGGCAATAAAAACTGTTTATCATTTAAAAAAAAAGAAAATCCAAGTAATCCAGTGCGAGATCCTACGTCTCTGAAGACGGCTGGAATTCTGCCACCTTTAACAGGCATTGACTTTCATTCCAAGTCTCTGCATGACCATGGAAGCTGAAGCTGTGGACTGGGATTTCAACTACACACAGAGTAGCTCCTCATGGTGTGGAATTCTGCTCCTTCTCCTCAAGCACTTACAGTGGAGACGTTTTCTACTGTGGCTTCCCAACAGGGTATTAAGAGGTAGCAAAGACTAGATTTTTTTTTTTCAAGAAAGGAAGAGAAAGACTTTGTATGTACATCCCAGAGGAACATTGCTGACCTGAAGCAATGGATTTACTATCTAGCTGAGGCAGTTTCCATCCCTCCTCCATGCCACCTGCTGAGAATGGCCTGACTGACCTCATAAGGAAAGTCTGAGTCTCTTGCAGATGCAATCCCTAATCTATTTAGGAGAAGACAAAGTTCCAGTCTCACATTGTACCAGCTCTTGCTCTCAGGTAATAGGGGTTAATTCAATAGGCAATACAGCCTTGCAAGGAGAGTACTAAAACCTGCTGATTCACCTGAAAATCTGGTAAAGAAGTTGGTAAAATATGTTGGGCTGCCACTGAAGTGGCTTTTGGATTCAGACATGAACTGCAGCTGAACTTGTGTGTCCCCTGAAGAAGAGCAGCTCCCTAACCTGAATTCTGATGGAACATCAGTTGGACCTTCTTATGTAACCATCAACAGCTACAGATTTGCACAAGTGATGTCCCACCCAGATTTTTCCACAGAAAAGGGGTAAAACTCTTCCCATACCTGGCAGCACACCCCATCCTAGAGCATAAGATTTAGGTCAGTCTCTGGGATCTAATCCATTTAATCCTTGATTTCTCTGCTATGTGGTAGAGGAAGCACAAAGGTTATCTGTGATGCAGTTTTGTGCTGAGACCACCAAACTTCATACACAATAAACTACTGTTAGGGCAAACCAGACAACACACAGAATTAACAGGATCGGGACTCTGGTCACTACTAAACTGGGCAGACTGGACAAAATCACCTAGAAAGAAAAAAACCCCCTTTTTTTCCTATTACCTCTTTCCAGTCAGCCCTTCCTCTTAATTCTGCATACATTTTTTTTGTGTTAAATAAATACCTGCTAAGGGAACAGACCTCTGATGAAAGGATAATAAATGAGCTCAATATATACTGCCATTTCATGGATTTCTGCTATGCACTGTCATACATTTAAAGCCAATTACTTTCTGTTTAAATATTTAACGCTGTAAAGCTAGCCAATTTTACATCTTGTCAAAGATAATTGAAATACCCACTTTGTCCCTTTAATAGGCAGGCAGAGCATCCACAAGATGGAAAATACCACCGGGATTTCACTCTTTGCAACTGGATATTGGAGATACCCTCAGTTTTTCAGAGTTTAGGGAAGATCAGCTCTGACACCTAAAGCACAAATCTGCATACAATGTGAGACTGAGAGCAGCCAGCAACAACCTCAGACCAGCTGGCTACTGCTGCTTCCCAAAACTAAACTGCATCAGCAAGCTTTTATTTGCATAGCTACAACGCTAGAGGACCCCACATACGCACATTATGGACTGAAGGTACAACTAATTTAAATTGAATCCTGAGGCTCTGCAAGGAAGCAACCTGTGTGCAGCTGGTTCTTTCCAGACACTCCTTTGAAGTGATGAAATCCAGTGGCTGTGACTAAGCTTGTAAACATTGTGCACTCAAGAGTTGCTAGGGAATTCAGGGGGAGCACCACCAGGCCAAAAGCTAGTTGTAGGAGGTGGCCCAGAGCTATTAATATTAGGATCAAAATTTCAGAATCAATCCCCAAGACATAGGGGTGCGAATGTTCCTCTAAAGCATCCAAGTTACTGACCACTGGAGCAGCAGCATTAGGTAAGCTGGAATGGCCATGAAGTAAAGAAATGGCCATAGTAAAGAAAGGGCTCAAAGACTGTCTTTCAGATGCAATCCCTATGGGCAACTGAGCAAAACATAAAAACATAAGCTCTTGGGACTGCTCCATCAACCTACCAGAGGTAAGGTCAGCAATTAGCTGTGTAAATAGGTTTCCTGTACTGCATTCTGCATTACTGAGTCAATGCTACCTTTCTGTTGAACTATTGCTGTCCGTGGCAGGGCAAGGCACCGTGTTATCCAAGTATTTTTAAGAAAGATTAATAACTTCACAAAAGACATACACTACAAACTGTGAAAAGCATCTCTCCAACAAGGCATTTGCCATTTCTTCCCCTAAGTCCCTGTTCTATGTTTGGGGTAAGCCAGCAGACAACCGGAGAGAAAGCTTGGCCAAAACTATCACAACGGAAGAATCTGAAGTATGACATTAAAAATCCAGTTTGACCAAAACTATCACAACGGAAGAATCTGAAGTGTGACATTAAAAATCCAGTTTGATTTCCAGTCCTTTGGCTTCAGCAGGACATGAACAGGTGGCATACTACTGAGCTGTGGCAGGGATGTTGCTCAGAGATCTCCTAACACCAGTAGTTTTGCCGGGCCTGGAACCGTCTTTTCCAGTGATGCCTAAAGGGAAAGATCATGGGAGAGAGAGGGTTAGAGCTCTAGAGGAGCCCACCTGCCCAAAATGCCCCTTACAGAGTCAGTCCAAGGTTAAAAGCTGGCAAGGATCCATTCCCAAGCAACCAAAGGTCTTCACAACAACATTCCCATTGCTCTTGTACCAGCTCCAGGCTAAAGCCTGACACAAACAGCTTCTCTGGCTGCAGCCCTCAGCATGAGGCTGTTGGGAGCCCAGATATTACAGTCTGGGGGGGATTTTCTGCCTTCTGCAGCACAAACACACATGATGAACCTCTGCTGGGAGCAGTTATACGTATTGCCAACTGCCACCCTGGATCCTCACGAGACACAAAGAACCAGAAACGCCTTATATAGTGTCATAAGCATCAGGAAAGCAGATGCACAGAAGGTCTGAAAATGGTCTCAGAAAAGGGAATGTTTCTGGCTACACAGCCTTGCTCTGATCTGCAGCAGAGCCCTTGGTTTCAGGGACGGCTGAGGTGACCATTGGGGCAGCAGAGGGAACAAAGTGAGACAAAGGAGTGTGCAGCTGCTCCATCCCTCGGTGTACGAGAAGAGCACAGGGAAGGAAAGACAGACAAAAAGGAACAAGACCCCAAGGCTGCTTCTGGCTTTGGACTGGGGCTTGGAAATTTTGCCATAAAGCAAACTCTTTCCCCTCTCACACCTATACTCCATTAGCCAAGCAAGGTTACTGAAACAAACCAAGGCTGCTTTTGCAGCTTAGGAGGCTTTGAAATTGGTTTCATCAGTCATTGGGTAGTGGTACTCATGGAAGAGAAGAAAAATACTTCATGGCTCAGACAAACAGAAAACTTTAACCACCGAGTTGTGATTGGCAACATCTTCAGGTAGCAACACAATAAAGCCTGAACCATGGACAAACCCCTGCCTGCTCCTGGATAACCTAGAATCACCCATAACCAGTGCCTTGGGAAAACCAGAGCTGGATCCCCAGCTACAAAGGCCGTGGACAAACATCAGACTGCTTTAAAGCAGCTCTCTGCCCCAGGGCAGGCTTGCAAGTCTGGCATATTTCTAGTTCGGCTCTTCCTATTTCTTGATTCTCCCCATGACAGTGACTGAAAAGCAGGGAGTCAGTCAATTGTTTATTTCAGCAATTCTTTCTTAATGTTGCAGACATGAAGCCCAGGGCAGATCTCCTTCCCACCCAGAGCTGCACAGCGTACAACTTGCAGGATGAGCAAGCGGAGGTGTCCTCCCGTGCCCTCCCTCTAGCACAGCAGCTCAAAAATCCTCACTGAAAGGAAAGGGCAAACCAACAAACCCCACAATGACCAAAATCTCTGGCTGTGCCTATAAAAGGAGATTACTATGTGATCGAAGACAAATCTCAGAGCAATAGCCACCTGCACAAGTAGCACAAAAGCTTGCAGGCATATAGTACCCAAGGTAAACCCAGACCCACAGAATGGGTTCATCCAGAAACTACCTCTCTGAAAGCTGCTTGCCAACTAAGCCACAGGATCTATAGTTTCTGGTAAGTCAGAATAGTAAGTCTCCTCTTTCCCTTTTTAGTCAGAAGTCTCTAAGAGAGGATTACCACTCCAGCTCATGCCCCCGAGCGAATAACAACTGTTAGGAGATTTTCCAGAGCGTTGCCAGGTTTCATACTGTACGTGCTTAACCCCACTCGTCTTCAATGGGCTGGTGTTTGTCTTACGGAAGTGCACACTTTCCCCAACGGTAAAGCTCCCCTCCCTGTCCCTGGGGCTGAGCACACCGACACGGGGCGGTTTGCGCTGCCGTATCGTGCGCTGCACGGCCATCTCCCGCCGACCGCAGCATCCGCTGCTCCCCTCACATCTGGCTCTACCTCATTGCGACAGGAGGGAAGCGTATTCCTCATGTCACTGCCCTCGCTCCCACTCAAACTGAAAGGAAGAAGAAAGTACCCACACTGGCTGTGGTTTCGGGTGATGCTTGGGAGGCACTACAAAAAGGCAGCGAGGGGGCCGGAGGTGAGCTCATCATCCGTGAGCCTGCGGCTCTGCTGATGTCATCACACAACTCGGTGGCAGGAAATGATACGGGAGCAGGAGCCCGAGAGGAAACTGCATCGAACAACTGAGGTTTAACTACTCTGGCATTTTATCATGTGGCATTTCCAGGGACTTTCTAAGAACCTGAGGCTGGGTTTGGCTGCCCAGCGTCGGTTATATTCGCTCCGCACGCCACGCTCAGCAGCGCTAACGGCAGCGGGATGAGGGAGCAGCTGTGCTGACCACATGGCAAAACAAGGCAACATCTGTCTCTCCTGGCTCACCGCCTCCCTTCCCCCTCCCACTCAAGGGAAAATATTTAATGAATAGCTTCCTACAACGCTCACTGAAGGTGGGACTCGTCTGCACGCAAGTTTTCCTGGCTTCTACCTCAGGAAGGGCCCAGAATGGTATCAGCTGGACTTGGATTTGCACTTTCCCAGGGCTGTAGTGAGGCTGGGGCTCTGGGTGGTGCACCTCTAAGTTCCTACAACAGCAGTACGAGTTATCTGGTGTCTCATCTCAGAGAAGCTCAGATAAATTTGCAGCCCTGTATAGAAAGTTGCCAGCGTCGTCATTCTCTGTGCTGATGCTCTAGCCCCTCCAGTAGCGTGCCAGCCGCTAGCAGAGAGCGCTGCCCTGGAGTACAAGCCAGGAAGGAGAGAGCAAGACTCTCATGGAGGCATGCAGGAGTTAATCCAGAATACCAGAGTGTCCCAAATGTCAAGGGATCTTAAACTCTTTTTTTTTTTTTTAAAAAAAAAAAAAAAAAAAAAAAAGGCAAGACATTCATGATAGACCATTTTCACTGCCAATATCCCTGAGCCACACCTGTGACAGAGACCAGAACCTTGGAAAGTCAGAGATACAGATTCTCTTCCCGTGAGCCACACCTGTGACAGAGACCAGAACCTCAGATACGCGATTTCTTGGAAAGTCAAAGATACAGATTCTCTTCCCATCCCTCTTTTCTGCCTCCACTTCTGCTGAAATAGTCACAACTGAATTAGATGGAAGGAATGTGCTACCCTTCCTGTTGTAATGTGCCTGGAAGCTTTCCAAATTCTCCTGTTTGTAAGATTTACCAGAATGATTGCAGCCAGTGCTAGAGCTTTGGGGGTACATACATGGTTTGCCAGGAGCACGGCTGCACAGTTTAGTCTCATGTAATTATGATTATCTCATTTCAAACCTTGGGTGGCTGGCGCTGAGTTCAAATTCCAGTCACTGCTTCCCTGAGGATTTCCTTCCTGAGACGCTCCTTCTTGGGCCACTGGTTTGGGCTACAAAGAAAAACACCAAAAAAAAAAAGAAAAACATCCACATCAAATTAGGTATCAAGAGACAAAATTGTTAATATGCAAAGTAGACGGAAAGCAAAAAGCCTTTGATCAATGTTACTTAAATAAGGCTCTGCAGCCCCGAAAGCATGCCCATTTGCCACCACATCCTATATCCAACTACACAAGAGCAAGCGCGTCACAAACATCTCTGAATGGTTGTCAGGATCCATAATGATCCCCCATATTGTCAGCCTTATGAGACACACAGCCCTACACTTTGAAAAAAAAATCTCCCCATTATGCAGCTGTGAAGAAAATTTTACATCACCTTCTATATTTCAGGATATTTTCCTGTCCTGAACAACTAAAAATTTTGTCCATCCAAAATTAAAAACCAAATGGCTGTTCTTCTCTTTCTGCTTTGGTTTTGCCCCCCAAAAACTCCTCAAGCTGTTAAATTAATTTTGATTAATAGATCAATTTACCTCAACTTAACTACAAAACCCTGAGCCTAACCCAGAACGGCAGCTACTACAATCTGTTACAGAAGAGAATGGCTGGAAGAGTCTTTTCCGACCTCATTTGCAGCCTGTTACAGATGAGGGATGGTTATAAATTATTTCTAGCACACTATAGATGTTTATAGACCAGGCAAATCCCTGAGCACCCTAATCCAATTAGACCTGCTTTGAGCAGTGGTTTGAACTAAAGGATCTCCAGCGGGCCCTTCCAACATAACTATGAGTCTAAAAAAAAAATAGAGAGAAGTGTATGTACACACCTAGCTGAGGGACACCAGACATTCAATACTATCACTAGATTCTGGGAGACATCATGATGCTCCAAACTATTGCCTTGCTTCTTCTGTGTGACATAAAGGTCTCAGGGAAGAATAAAGTGCCAACTGAACTAATAAGGAAGTGTTTTAATTAAATCGTAGAACACCAGGTTGGATGGGACCTCAAAGATCATCTGATCCAACCTTGCTTGGCAAAAGCACGGTCTAGACAAGATGGCCCAGCCCCTGTCCATCTCCATCTTTGAAGTGCACAATGATGGGGAATCCACCACTTCCCCGGGAAGATTATTCCAATGGCTGTTTTTTCTCACTGTGAAAAATTTTCCTCTTGTGTCGCATTGGAATCTCCCCAGGAGTAACTTGTACCTATTACCCCAATAATAATCTAATAAAAATTAGATTATCATTACAGGAAAGTAAGAATTTCCATGGAAATAATTGTTTGACACTGCACTCCTACCAACAAAAAAAGAGAAGATAGGACTGAAAAACTATTCCGGCTAGCTTTTTTTCAGATGTTAAGATCTCCTCTGTCACTATTACTGTCAGTTTAACCACAAGACAGCCCTACCAGCAGGTGTTTTATAAACTGCCCCTTGCTCTGAAACCCTCTCTCTGACTTCTCCTTCATAGGATCTTCAGCTTTATAAGTACTTCACTTTTTTTTGGCTTTCCTGAACCCTACAGTAACAGAGTTTCACAGCCAAGGCTCCTCTGTCCCCGTTCAGACTGCATCACAGCAGCAGCAGGATCAATTCCTCCCACAGAATTTCACTGCCTGCTCTTCCCCTTACCAGATAGCAAGCAGAAAGGCACTGGAGCGCTCCTGAGGGTTAAACTTGCCTATTTCAGGTTAGATGAAGAACACATAAACTGGTGCCAGGACCTGCCTCCCAGCTCCTCTGGAGTCCTTTGGCCTCTGCGCTTGCATTTACCCGCTGTAGTTCATGGGTACCCATACAGGACAATCATTTGTATCAATATCATTGTCCAAGACAAGGTGGCCCCTCTCTTCTTCATCTCTGCCTCCACTCATGGACGTGGCCAAGTCAAATATCCTAATGATTCAAAGCTTTCCTCTCTCCCCCACCCCTCCAATAGAAGATGAGGACAGAACATTTCAGGTAACTACTGATTCTTACTAATCCTTTGGCTGCTGCATAAAAGAGCCTCCTGCTGGCAGGATTCAAAGTTTGGTCATTCACCAAATTCCTCTTTTTGATTAATCTTAAGTTTCTTCTTCTGAGACAAAGATACGCTAAGGAATCACTCCAGTCTTTCACCTGGGAAGACAACCCCTCTCCCCTAAAAAGGATGGAATCTCTGGTCTGACCTCCCAGCCTACGAAAGTACTGTGGAAGACTAATATGTCTCTAATGAAGCACAGGAACTCTCCTGGGCTCTCAGGATTCTTCAGGAGCTGAACCTTAGGGGTGTGGTACTGGAAAGTCAGTCTGAGCTTCCCTAAAGCATTGGATTTCCAGGCCACCCAGACAGAAAGAACGTTGTTGCAGATAGTCCCTGAGAAGAGCAAACAACTGAAAATACCCCAAGATCCATGACTGGAGAAGAGGAAAAGGACCAAACACTGTACTCACCCACTTGCGGGGCCTCCCTCTTGGCCTTTTCCCAGAAGACTCTACCTTTATTTAAAACAAAGGGGAGAAAAGTATTTTCAGCTCTCATATTTGCTGGGCACTGTGCCCAATATATTGGGATATAGTATACTGAACCTGGCCACCGTGACCTCTGTATGAAGCTCTTGTGCAACAAGTAGCAGAAAAGGCAAAAGCTGGGCAAAGAAGACAGTTGAGGAGGAAACACCTGCCAGACTATGCTGGTTGTGATTATTTGGCAATGGTGGAGGAGAAACGCTACAAGGAAGCTGCTGAACAGGCAGTGGCAACACAGGAAGGCTGGGAGGCGAGTTAAGACTAAGACCACAATAACTGATTTGTCTAACAGTGGCAAATACAGCTGAGCTGAATTAGGGGCAACTTTCACTGTCTGTTTTAAGCTAAGAGAAACCTCCCTGCTTGTCCCTCTAGCGATGCTTCAAGGAAAGGGGACAACCAGCTTCTCTCTCCCCCATAAGAGAAAATAAGCCCTTTACTCTTACCATTTGTCCAGATACAGCAGTCACCTTCTTGCTTCCTTTTGGTCTTCCTCGTGGTTTCTTTGCTGGCAACGGTCCCACAGCCTCCTCCTGGGATAAAAGGAGAAAATCATTTAAGTGGGATGATCCCTGGTCGTAGCTTCTCATTCTAATATGTCTTAAGACTGTCTTACACCAATAGTAGCACCCAGACCACTAAATATGTGGTTGTCTCTGTTTTTCCAGCTGCTGAAGTACATTAGGAGATGGCTAACAAGACTCCTACCCCTTTATCTTTTGGGGTGGGGAAATTAGTGTATGTTCCCAGGACTCTGACCATAGTGTCTGGAGTGAGGAGAGAAAAAGCCTTGGCCTTCTTCCCTCTAACTACTGGTGCTGAAACAGCATCGTGACACCTGAAAGTCTCCAGACTGGAACAGAGATCTGGTGAGCTCCTCTCATGCCATTTCCATCTTAGCCAGTGGCTGAGATGCCCCAGGGTGTACTGCTGCCCTGAAGAGCAATAGCATTTATCACAGAATGCCTCAGCTTCCCTTGCTCTTTGTTAGTGAGCCACTTCACAGGGCTCCCTGCAAATCCCACCAGGCTAATGCCAGAGCATCCTCAGGCAGCCTCTTAGGCCCCCTCACCTGGGGCTGCTTCTTTGGTCTTCCCCTCTTTCTCTTCAGGCCCTCAGGCACTGTAGATGTGCCGGGGTTCACTGGCCCCTCGTTGCTCATGTTGGTACTTTCCACAGTTTCCAGATGATAATCCAACAGGTTACTTTTCCATGGACTGGAAAAAAACAACAACCTTGTATCTTCTTTTTCTCCCCAATCTTGTTACGGATTCTCCTCTACCTGCAAGGCTGAAATGGCGAGAGAGAATCAGGCATGACAGCTTGCTATTGTTTTTATCAGTTGGAAGAGTCTGGGACACAGCAGACATTTAGAAGCGTAACTGGTTCATTAATGTTTGTAAAACGTATTCTCTTACATTGCCTGTTCCTCAGCTTTTTGAGGCTTTTGCCAAAGGAGCTGATTGCTCCAGGTGCATAGAGACAGTAGATGCTAGGGCATCTACCTTTCCCCACCTTGTTGGCCAGTTTAATCTGAATTGACACAGGCAATGTCTTCAGCTCTCTGAACTCCCCTTTTGTAGGCCTCAGCCTCTGGTCCTGCACAATACTCCCTATTTCCTACAGGACAAAAGAATTCACTCAAACCTGGGTTTTGCTCGGATCCTGAGCACCAGTTTGTCTACTGCACATTTTGTATCAGCAGGATTGCCAGTCAGCCTCCTCCTGTCCCCAAGCTCTACTTAGCGCCTGCTGTGGTTGGAATGAGCCCTGATCTGACTTGTTTGCTCTAAGAAATAACCAAGATCACAAGCTGTTGAGGGTACATAGGAAACCAATTACTTTCCTTGCTTCTGCTTGAGGTTTCTCCTTTGGTGCTGTTTGCCAGAGAAGGTGGCAGTTTGACTGTGAGCCTCTACACCCTCCCATCCCAAAGCAGGAAAAGGAGGGAAGAGACCTTGACCAGAAACTCAGCTGGCACCTGAATCCCAGGCACATTAAGAGAGATGGTGGCCATTGGTCTTGCTTCCATGTGAGGTAAACCCTAGCCAAGGATCTGAGTTCAGCTCTCAGTCTGCTGACCTGCCTGAAAAAGGCACTTTCAGTCTCCCCAGACCTTGGCCCTCCTTTCCTTCTTGCGTAGGAGGGAGGGCTCAAGAAGATGCAAGGGGCTGAGGGGAGTGAGCCTGGCTGGATGAAGGTCAGCAGTGGTGGCTGAATCCTCTTTGGTCAGTAATTCTTATCACAAAATAAATAGCTGAGAGTAGTGCACCTGGGAAAGCAACATCATTGCTTAGGAAAGCAGGAGTATATAGATGGACAATGCATTTCTACCTTCTGTGCAATGTCATTGCCTTCTCCTCATCTAGACATTGCAGATATCATCTGCCTTGCCTATAGAAGCTCTTCTGCCTCTGCCTGAGAAATGGGTTTTTTTCAGCTCTTCGCTCTACCTCTTTTGTTTCTCCTTTCTCACTTGATAAATGAAAGGTAACAACAGCGTGTTTAACCAGCTCTGCCCCATCAGCCTTGAGTGCTGCTGGGTCTCCAAATCCCTCTGGCAGGTTCTACCCGAGGCAATAGAGGTGGCACGGTGAGTAAGAGCACAGCTGCACCATGTAGAAGAGTGTGACTCTTTTCTTCAAAATAATGCCAGAGGGCAGAAGTTGGGTTCAGTTCCAGTTCATGCATGAGCAGCCCTACCTAGTGAACTCCCTGGATGTCCCTTTGTGCTCACAATTGGGACCCAGCTCACAGGTGCTGCCACGCACTCGGCTTTTCTATCAAAACTTCTGATTAGAAGGTGATGGAAAGACGATAGCTCAGGTCTCTGAGATCAGGCTGCATCTGAAGGGGAGACAGTTAGTTTAAAAAAAAAAAAAGTTTCTTTGTACTTGCAAGCCATGCTCAGTTGCCACCAAGTCCCTGAGAGATAAGCATGAAACACTTTCAGCGAAGAGCTGAAAGTCTATTTCAGCGAAGAGCTGTGCTTTTAGAAACTGTTACCAGAGCTTTGTAGTTTGATCAGATGTCAAGTTCCAGAGATGAGAGAGCTTTAATTGAAGATGACAACAAATGTTGTGCCCTCTGGTCCAGCTTCTGTTTCTGACATTCACATTGACTGGTCAGAATTGGGGCTCAAACAGCCTTGTGCTGGTCCTGGCCATTTGGGGCTGGATGAGGCAGGAGGGAGTCACTGAGGTACACGGATCCTGGACTTCCCAAGGAGCAGAGAGGCCTTAATGCCTCCTCCCAAAGAGGTCTAAGCCAGCCCTGGCTTGTGCTGCACATCTGCTGCTGGACCACCCCAGAGTGCTGCAAAGGTGGCTTGAAGCTTCCTGAGCATCCCTTCAGGAAAAGGAATAGACATCGCCACTGGAATGGACGAGTGTGAAAGTGATGTCCAAGCCAGGTACTTGAGAAGAGATTAAGGCTCCTTTGACAACACAGCTTCTAGCTAGGGATCACAGTAATTGGAAAGCACTGGTTCAGTGCCTCTTGGAATTCAGGTCCGAATGCTAATACAAAGAGTTATGGGGGAATATAAACGTCCTTTAAAAGTATGACGTGCATGTTTTCCCCTGGCATTGTCAAAGTGTAAGGAATGGGATGGATGACAGGGTATGGCAGATATTACCAAAGATAACAACAGATGTAGTTAAATGTGGTGGAGGCTGTGCTGATAGGAGGGCTGAGTTAAGTTTTTGTATTTAATTTTCCAGTCTCAGATTGTACTACCTGCTCAGTCACCTCAGGCTGGACACGCAGAGAAAATGTCACTGGCAGACACAGCAAGAAAACTTCCAGCCTTCACTCCATATTCTATCAAAATGTACAGTCATGACAGACACTGAAGCCATTGCTCTTGTTGACACAACCTCTCTCATGAGTTCTCTGTAACTGAAACATGCATTAAATCCAAATTTTGCATTCAAGTGGGAGCAACCGCAATGTACAGAATTCACTTTTTTCCCCAGGTGCAAAGAAAGTCAGTACTTGCACAATAATTGTTTTCCAAATCTTGCTAGACTCATACAATCTATGATGTCTTTCCCGTATCTGGCAAGCTTTCTACAGGCAGGACTGCAGACAAACATACAGAGACTGCCAGGAGATAGCAGTGTCTTTGTTCATCTCACTTCCATCTTCCCATCACCCACCAAAGGCATCTGCTTCTTGAAGCTTGGTGTGAAAAGAAAAAAACACAAGCAAAGCTCTACAAGCGTCAGCCCTTAGGGCTTTTGTGAGCTTTACGTGACTCAGTGCAAGATGCATAGAAAGGAAAAGCACCCACTGCAATTCTGCTTCACATTTCTCAACAGCAGCTTTCCGTTTATATATATAAAAAGTCCCAAATCAATATTGACTCCCATTGTATACCGAAAACCAAGTATGTTTTCCAGGGTCACTGCTGAGAGTGGAGCCAGCAGGGCTGAGTTCCAGTCCTATACATTGTCCACAAGGCCACAAGACCTAAAAAACCCTATCCAAGTGCTTGTGGGCCTTAGATCCCCTTTATGTCAGGCACATACACACTTTCCAAGTGATGCGGGTAGGTGAATACATGTTTTTGGCAGCACTCAGACCTCTGTGCTGTAGAGACACCACTTACAACAAAGCACCTCACGTCCCAAAAGCATTCCCAGGCACCTGGCAGAGGAGAGAGGATTCTCACAGCCTAACACTTTGTACCTGATTTAGGTGCCAAGTTGTACAAAGGCAGTTTTTCTACCGTACCAAATTCTCAGAAGAGAAAAGCTTTTCCTGGGAGCAACGGAGTTGTAGACTAACACGGGGTACAGAACAGTGTTCTGGAGGGACTTTTTCCTCTCCACAGACTGCAGAGGAAGCCTTGGGGATGAGCCTGCTGACTTGGGCAAGTAAATTAAATGGCAGAACCCCTTCCTGTTTATTCCCTCAGGGAGGTTAAGTTTTAGGCTATGTCCTTGGGATAATAACAGTATGACCCAGGGATGCTTAAGACATTGTACTAAGAAACTCCAAACTGTGTGCATGATTCACAGTAAATGCTGCCAGAAAATGATTGTCTAGCTGCACTGCCCACATACAAAACACAAAGCTCACAAAGCCTTTTTCAAAGCATAATAGGAGTGTGATTATAAGAGACCCTTCATTATAGCCTTAACTCTGCTGCTGTCTCTATAATAACGGGAAAAAATATCCACAAAGCACAACTCCCACTTAGTAGCACAGCACCATTGTTCTGCTGTCACGTGTGACAAAGTAAACCCAGGGTAACTTCACCGACGTGAATGCGGTCACTCTTCAGTCCCTCTAGTAAAAGAAGGAGGGAAAAATTTGGCCCAAGCCCTGCATCAAGCGGAGGAGGATAAAAGACTTCGTTAGCCAAGACATCTAAAGAAGGGGACTAAGAAGGCCAGGCAGAGAGAAACCTTTCATTTCAATAACTGAAGCAATAACGATCTACACTTGCATTATGAGAAATTAGTTTTCCCTTCCGAGAAATCAAATGCTCACGTCTTTTGAGATCTCACAGCAGATCAAGAAATACCACAGCTTGTCGCAGTTCCCCATGGACTTCTCTACCAGAAAAGCAGGATAGCCAAGTGCTGGGTGTCTCCCTTGGGAAAGAGCAGTGGTGGCAACACTGTGGCAAATGAACCTTTTGTGCCAGATTTTTCTGTGAAATAAGGAACTTACGGGCTACTAAATCAATCTTGTGGCAACAGCAGATAACTGCCACAGTCTCATAAATCACATCTCAAAAACATAAATAACCTCTCTAGGTGATTTCCCTAACTACTTTGAGTGGCTAAGTCTAACCCTTCTTTGGTCTCAAAGACCAAAGTCTCCCAGTTCCTTGCCTGTTTATTGCTTTTTTTTAAATGAGCGACTTACTGTCTTTTGTTCTTGCATCACCAGAGCCTTCAGCACCAACATTTGTCTTTTCTCCATTATTAAAGGCACTCTACCAGATATACACATTAATCTCATCTCCGCCATCTTGCCCAACTGAACAAACCAGTGTCCCCCAGTTTCTTGGGATGTGATCATACCTCCTCATCATTTTGGTTGTCATTTACACCTTTTCCAGTCTCAGCTCAATGCTTCTGAATGTGATAAGGATTTTTACTCTCAAAACTATTTTCAGTAAGCACAGCTTGACTAACTTAACCTCTCTCTTATCTAAGAAGCATGGGCTAAGCAAGAGTTCAGTGGGAAAAATCAGTTCCTGTCTAACATTAACAGCATGAGCTTCCAAATGGGTTCAACCAGCAAGCTATCCCACCTCCTCCAGCGTATCCTGACTGACAAAATACCCAGTTCAGAAGAGAGAAACTATTTAAGCTTACAGAGGACAAAGAGAGACAGGAACTGTATGAGCTTTCATGGTTCACATCAGTGGTAGGGACCAGCTCAAGTCCTGAACGTGAACTTCTGTTGCTTTATCTACAGAGTTACATTTCCGATTCTGTTATAGATTTCTCTGTGTAACCCTAATGAAAGTGCCTTCATGTGTTTCAGTTCCCCATCCCCAAGATGGTGCGTGGCTCCCTGTCTGCTGAGCTACGCTGGTGATGGGGCTGAGGGGAAACAACCTGCCTGAGGCAGGAAGAGGCCATCCTGTCTGTGCCTATTCTTCTGAGACAGCCAGCAAAGTAGGTGGGTGCTACCAGCTGGGATGGGAGCTTATGGACTGAAGACCTATCTACTCGGAAACAGGCAGTGCCAGAAGGGTTTTTTTGTTTATTTGTTTGTTTTTACATTAGAGACAGGCACAGCTACATGGGAGAAGAGTTTTTGAATGCTGTTTCAAACAATGATGTGGACACGAACAGTCTCTGTTTCCTATTTCCCAGATCCTGAGCACGCAGCTTCAGCACAGCATCAATACACTGCAAGACCACTCTCTTGAATGAACCCATGCTTGATGCAGTGCCTGCCTACTTATTTCTCTCTCTGTCCAGATACCTGAGACCAGTTACTTCTCTGAGAAGCACCTTGCTCATCCTAACCCACACAACATCTCATCACAACATCATGGCTCTGCTGTAGCTAGCTTAAAATATTCCCATTCCCTCCTCGGGAAAGCGAGGCTTTGCATTTGCCTGTGAAAAGAGGCCATGTGTGAAGTCCTAGTGGAGTCCTAGCTGCACTGAGGTCCTGTTCATTTCTGTATGTGCAAGTCTTCCCCTGAAGGTTGCCACATACTTCTACAGTGAAGGATTCAACCTCAACCCTACCTCAGCACCCTCAGCTTCCAAGCCCTGCCAAGGCCCCAGGCTTCTTATGGTCAGAGCAGGCAAAGCAAGGAGGCAGTCAGCCATCCCAGGGAAGATGTGGAAAAGCAGTGCTAGATACCAAGACCAGAGAGGAAGAGATCTGGAATCTGTTCCTGACACTGATCTTGGGCAAGTCACGTAATCATGTAATCATGCCCTTCACATCTTCTATCTGTAAGATTATGGAATAAGACTGGAAGTATTAATGCTTGCCCTCAACCTGAGGTGGAAGGACTGAGGATTAAGTCATTCCCATTTGTAGAGTAACAGCAAGAACCCCCAGCAGAAGAGGACACAGCAAGGCATTATTAGCAGACTGCATCAGCAGCCTCCCCCACGTCGTCGTGTTCAGAAGCACAATGGAGAGGCTGTTGCAACTGAAGAAATACAGCCCAGGATCAGCCACATCCTGCTCAGCAGCAAAACACACCCTCACCCTCTTCCCCCAGGAAGCTGAAGGTTCGTAGGACCAATGTGGCCCCAAGCTGTAAGCTGGAGTCCCCTGCCCTGGGAAGCTGGCACAGAGCAGTGCTGGGATGAGAGCTGGGGTTCCCCAGGGCTGCAGCACGTTGCTGAAACTGCACAGCACTTCTCACCCCCTCCCAAACCAGAGCGGGCAGGGGATGCAGGGCCCAGCTCGATGTCTCTATCCAAGGAAACTCACGTACCAAACTCAGGAACTCCAAATCTAAGGCCACTGCCTGAGGTCTCAGACACCTGTCCAGCACTTCTATCAAGCTCAGTGACACTGAATGCCTCTGCAGACTGTAGGCTCCCTAGCATCACCTATTAAGAGCCTGTTAAAATTCTACCTTAGGGAATTTGCCCAAAGACCCAAAGCTTTGCTAAAAGACTCTTTCTTCTCTTAAAGCCTGTCCAGACACTTTCACCAAAAAGCAAGCTCCGCAAGCGGTGCAGAGTTTAATCAGTGGAGAAAAAACAACAGCATTTACAGTGAAACAAAAGGATAAGGACAAATCCGGGTTACTAAAATAAAAACAAACAAACAAAAAAAATCACAGTCATCTCTTAGTTCAGGTATCATCAAGCCTTGCTCCTCTGCAGAATTATTGTCTTGTTCAGCCCAACTACTGACATCTGCAAAACACTGTCCACTGGTGCCAAACCAGGAAACGGCCCTGCGCGGTTCCTGGTGAGGACAGGAGTTTTGGCACCTGGCACAGGGACATAGGACGCAGCGAGTTTTGAGCCTGACCCTACTTCCAAAACAATCTCTCTCAATTAATGAGACGCAATTTATTAACCCCTGCGCCTTCATAAACCCCAGCACCTTGCAGACGAGCTCTGCACGCGCGTTTCAAAGGCAGCCTTGCTACTGCGGTAGGAAAGGAACAAGATTACCTGGTGAGAAGTTGGGCAGCGCCACTCGACCCACTGGAGCCCAGCAGCCCCAGCAGTGAAGGCAGGAGAGAAAGGTGGAGGTATCCAGCAGCAGACACCCCTCCTGCACCGGAGAGAAGGGCTAACCCGAGTCCCTGCACACATTCATTTCAGGAGCCTTACAACGAGCCGAACGCTATTTATTGCGCTCCCGGTTAGTGATATGGAAAGCAGCACCAGCACTGCCAGCGATCTCCTTCTGATGGCAGTCCTGAGTACTGACAGCAACTGAAACCCCCTTCACTTCAACCCGCCTGGAATCTCACACTAAACCAGCAACCACCGAAAATAAAGAAAAATCCCCCAACCAGACCACTTACACCCGGCAGCTTGTACCGCTGCCCCGCTTACTAAAAATAAGGCCAGTTTCCAAATGTGACATGAATGATCTGAATAAAGGGGACAGATCATTTCACAGAGCTCCCTCTTTACGAATGCTTGAAAGAATGATGCTGACCCTGTTTTATGAAAGAAAAACAAAACAAAACAAAAAACCCCCAAATGGGTAGCCCCGAGAAGGCTTGTGATGACAAAGTGCTTATTAATTTGAGTGCAAAATGCGCTCGGGGCATTTACTATAAGCCACAAATAAAAATGGGAAGCTGACTTCAGTTGAGCATAAACATATTTAGAAAGGAGATGCTGCATGGCTCTAAGTTAGGTATTCTGTATTAATTATGTGAACAACCATTAGAGCTGGCTGAAGTCCCCAGAAGTATTTTGCAAAGGAGAACGCAGACTTTTCATATGACTGACTCGGTGTATTTAAGACACGTATATTGTGGGTTTTGACACATCACCATTAGCCAAACCAGAGAGTTAAAATATCTCAATCTGCACCTGTATAAAACCCATTACAGTATCTTAGAGACAAAGTCTGAGAGTCTTCTTTATGCCAAGTAGTACATTGCTTACAGCGACGGTACAACTGAATAAACTGAAGACTGATTATTTTTTTTCCCCTCAGAGCTGTCCATATAAAGTATTTGTAATCACTTGAGTTCCTCAGTAATTTCTGAAAATGTCAGTAAGGCACCTCAATCACTTACAGCAGTCTGGAAAACATCAGTTTTCACCTTATTAACATAGGAATGATGATCTCCTGGTTAAAGATGTACATGGGGGCTCTAGTTCTTCGGGTTCCCATGTGCTTCCTCTGTGACCTCAGGAAAGTCATCTTTTCTTTGTATTGTTTCCCACATGTAAAGTGGGGATAACACACAAAACAGGTAACAACTTGCTTATTTAGACAATATTTTCTTTGGGAAGGGATAAATGTCCCACCATGGAATTACACAGGTCTTAGGCAACGTGGCTCAAGGCTATTGGGAGCTCCTAACCACTAATAAACCAAAATCAACACAAAACGTTATGAAAAGCCTTTGATCATCCCTGCAACAATGTCTAATACAAAAGTCACAAAAGAGTGTACCTGAAAATTATTACCTATTAAAATAAATGCTTAAATATATCTAGCTAATCAACCAAAAATTCTCTTGCATACACAATAGTGTATTGTATGGAAATACAGACACTTTTTTTCATTTTAAAATGAAAAATATATTTATTTCTTTTCAATATCACTAGAGACAAAGTTGACTAGGTCAGAACCTGAATTGGTATGCTTTGTATAAAATGAAAAAAAAATAATCATCTGCATTTCATACAAATACTTCCTGACAAGGAAGTATTAAACTTGATTCTACAGTACTAAACCAGAGATGGTTGACTGTCCACATGTGCTAAAGAACATTATTAATATTGTAGAAATTCAACTTCTAGTTAGGAAATGCCAGATATAAAATTGGCACGTGGAGTCCTATTTAATCTTTATTGAGCATATATTGGAAGATGTCTTTAATTTCATATCCACACTTCATAATTTCATTAGCATTTAAGGCCAAGGGAAACGATTCGATCATGCTGTATGTAAGTGGCTGTCACTTCGTTGTTATCCTTGGACAGAGCCCAAAACTTTTAAACTTGACTGAAGCATCGGGCCCAGAAAATCATGTGTTCTTGATTTAAAGACATCATGGGATAGAGAATGTACCACTAACCCTTAGACATGTGTTCCAGTGGTTAATCCCATTTAAAAGGGGTGCCTAATTTACAATGTGATTCATGTGCTTTCAGATTGCAGGTGCTGGTTCTTATCGTACTCTTCCCAGATAAGCACCCGGCCTACCTATTCCCTACCTCCCCTGCTCAACGATACTTCCACACTGTTATCAAGGCCACTTACCCTATTCTTCTAAAAAATTAAACAGGCTGAGTGTCTTAAGTCTGACACTGTAAAGCTTTTAAAAAATATATTTAAAAAAATCATTTCTGTGCCCCTCATCTTCAAATATTAATACCTTTTAAAAAGAGGGGCACCAAAGCAGCATGCCCTACTTCAGTAGCTGCCTTGACCCCCATTAAACTGGAGGTAAAATAAATTCCTCTTTTCCACTCCTGTAGTTCAACAGCCAAAAATCACACAAGCCCTTTAAGAACACAAGATGATTCTTTCTATGGCATTCCCCTTCATTTCACAAGCTGTCCCTTTCCATCCAGTAAACATTGCTGTTTCCTTTTACCCTTCTAGCCAGTTCTTTACTGCTCTGTACAAGCCTTTCTCAGAAGGTAAAATTATCTGTTTTTTCCTGGACTTTACAACGGTGGTCCTTACCATACCAATTAACTGCTTTACAAACACGAATTAACCGATGAGTCCATTGCCACTCTATGGTGTGCATGTTGTGTATTTTGCAAAGAAAGGGAATTAAGACCAGTATCTTAGATGTCAATGTCTAGGTAAGATGTTGCCAGTAAACAGTTTTACCACATACTGATTCTATTCAGATAGGTATGTGAGGATACCATCCAAGCCTCCTTTGGGCATACCATAGATTTGGTCCCTGTTCCCTCTACCCTTCACTTAAATCCCAGGATTTCTTTCCCTGGGCAGCCTCAATGCCAAGATGCGAGCTCTGAAAGACAATTTTAAGCTACCTGTTTCCAGTGTACACCAAACCAGTAGAGTGCTGTGCTAAACAGAGACATGGATCCTGGCTGTCAGGTGAAGAACAGGACTCCTTCAACATCATCTTTCCTGCTTCTGTCCCCAGAGTATCTCGGAGATGTCACTGTGGAGAAGAGTATTTTCTGGCCAAGGGCTGAAAAACTTGCTCATGACTGCACCTTCTGATGAAATTTCTCTTCTGGAGGTCCCATAAAGGGGGAAGAAGCATGAGCTGGACCAATAAGCAGAAAAACATTAGCAGCCAAATCTAGAGGACAGAAGTCCTTGAAATTCCCCCTTCTTAGATGTGAGAGGGTGAGAAAAAATAAATTAGCAAGGTTTCCACTCTTGAGTGACTTGCTAAGATATTTATGTCCTGAGAGGGTTTTGTGTGTTTGCAGCAAAATTGCCCCACAAAAGGGCTGGCTCGTGCCTGCCAGACAGTTACTAGTTTCCTTTAGGAAACGTACAGATTTTACCACAATGCAGTGCAAGTCTCTGCCTGCATTCCTACTCCTTATCTTCACTCTTCCAGAAACTAGACTGGTCGCTGTGGTATAGCACAATATACATAGGCCAACACCAGCTGCAGATTCATTTGTGTATAATCCCTTTCTGTTAGGCAGGTATATATAAAGAGCTCCATTCACTGCTATCCTGATCTTGTCAGAATCTCTCATGTGCACAAACCTGTATCTCCTAAGTGCAATGAAAGCTAGAGTTTCATAGTAATTGTTCTATACATGCTTATTATTCAGGCTGTATTAATGAATATTTTAACTGGAGATTAGGTTGAGGTGTGATTTCCACAAGATAAGAAACAGATTTGCCATGCTCTATTTTATCATTGTAATGGAAGTGTGCCCCATAATATTATATTTCTTAATTCTTTCATATTATGCTCAACAGCAATTCAAACTCTCTGGACAATGCAGAGCTGCGAAATCTCACTTTGAGGAAGTTGTGGACTTGCTGGAAGGCCTCCAAAAACCAGAGGATTAGAAAACACATCCTGTGAGGAAAGATTGAGGAACTGGCTTGTTAAACCTAGAGGCAGGAGAACAGAAAGGACATGATAATGGCTTTCAAATACACAGAATAGTGTGCCATCTAGGAAAAAAATAACGTGTGGATAGGAGAAAAAAAAAGTACAGATGGGAAATTTAGGTTGAACATTAAGGAAAGTCTAATGACAGGAATAAACTATGAGTTTTTACAGGTGGTAGATTTCAGCTCTTGCAATAGGAAGGATGAATCCTGGCAAAGCAACACCATAAACACTATCAGCTGGTAACAAGGCTGACCCTTTTCTACCTTTATAGCAGGAGGCAGTTACTGTTCCTGACAACACGCAGAGGAGGAAGGTGGGACAACTGAGAGTGAGAAGTGAAGAGGGAACAGCTTTGCTGCAGGCAAAAAAGGTGCAGCTAGAAATAGAAAGAGCTCACACCTTGCTTGATAAAGCCATGTGGAGACATCACGAACAAAGCCCTGGAGATGGCCTTGAAGGACCTTTGTAACACAAAATGAACCTTGCACCAGCAGATAGCTGAGTATGAGTGAGGATTAGATCCCAACAGGAAAGCAAAGGCTGGGTAATTCTTATCTGTGACCAGAGGCGACCAAGAGACTCAGCAGAGGGACCCATGGCAAGCAGTCCATACCAAAGCAGTACCATCTAAAGCACAGAATGGAGAACCTGTGGCTGGGGAGCACAGCTTGACAGGCAGAGCAAGCAGCATCCCAAATACTGGGGGTGACCAGAGGCGACCAAGAGACTCAGCAGAGGGACCCATGGCAAGCAGTCCATACCAAAGCAGTACCATCTAAAACACAGAACAGAAAACCTGTGGCTGGGGAGCACAGCTTGACAGGCAGAGCAAGCAGCATCCCAAATACTGGGGGAGTAGGTGTACATATGGAGGAAGATGTAGATGTCTGTGGGACACAACTCGGGCCCACTGTTATCCCTTATGCTGCCATCCAAAGCAGCAGCACCTCATAAAGGTGGAGTCTTCAAAGGAAATGCCGTAGCTCCTCAGGAATTATACTGACAGCTACCCAAAGGTTCTTTGCCAGCCAGAAGGTCTGAATTTCTCTAAGAAAGACGCAGTAGAAGACAGACAAATCTGTCTGTCCTCCAGGTC